ATGGTCCGCCTAACGTTAACACCGAAACACCGGACCAAAATACATCGAAACGCCGCGACCAAAGGATTTAAAAAGGATGTTTACTGTAGTTTCGAAGTCAAGCGCTATGTCGTCAGGTCTACATCTAGAAGGGTCATTTGTACATAGTTAAGAGCTTGGAAGTTCATTGAGCGGAGATATGAGTGACCCAATAACATTGGTGGTGTTGCGTTGGCAAGATGGACATACCCGTAGTCCTAGCACCCACTCGACGCGCCTGGCTGGAGCCATTCGGGCGGCCAGGCCCGGTCTGCGGTGGACGGCTGCGGGCGGCGCGGTGTGTGGTGCGAGCAGGAAGGGGTAGGGTCAGGAAAGGCCAGGTCTAGTCTTCGATGATTGGTGGAACCAAAAGGGGATTTAGACTTAGAGTTAGTATAGGGTTAGTTTAGTCAGTTAGTGAGTAGTTCAGTTCTAGTTTTGCCTCCAACTGCTCATACACCACCAAGCTTTGCCCGGGAGTCCACTTCTCCCCCAACATTGTGTTTGTGTTGAGAAGTTGTACGGAGGCGCGAGTTGCGACAAAGAATTCTTCAGTGCATCAAGTCTAGCACTCATCAAGGATGTCCCAGAGAGGACAGGACCGACCAGGCCAGGGCCGCAGCGACGACTCCCAAAGAGGCACGAGCAATGGACCGCGCTAACAACCGCTGGAGCGAATCGACGGGGGTGCACACCCAGTCCCAAGCTGCCCCAGGTTTGGGCATCCGCCCGTAACAATTGCGCCAGTGGCTGTTCGACCGGGAGACATACGAAGAAGACCTGCGTGCCGTATGCATGCGTCGAAACCTCGAAGTACGGAACCTACGCGTTATAGCGAAAACAACGGTGGAACTGCGAGTCACTCTGAGCACAGCCGCCGGTCAAGTCAATCTGGCTTGAAAGCAGCTATTTTACGTGGTCGATGACAACGACGAACTCATTATTAGCAAGTACGCCCTGATGTCGATTGGACTCGACATGAATCGACTACTCGAGCAAGTGACCGTGCGCCAAACCCACGAAGACGGCGACGACATTGGCGACCCCGGCGAAGACGAAGACATCGCATTCGGAGTCAGTGTGCGGGGGTTATATGCAAGCGGTGAACAGCTGGACGTGGAAGACATGCAAGCAGCAGAACAGCTGTACAATATGGCGATCACATCTGCGAACGCCGTCGACCAAGAACAGACTGTGGCGCTCAAGCAATTAGGAGGAATCGTCGTCGACGCCGCCGCCAAAGGAGTATGGCGAACCAAGTTCAGAGGCACAGACCTCCCGGCGAATGTGAAGGCGATGGAAATACGACTTAAGGCGGATGCACGCCCCAATCGTTGCAAACCTAGAAAGGTGAACCCCTTGACGGGCATGTTCGTCGAAGCGTTTGGCAAACAGCTGGAGCAAGACCAAGATATTTATGCAAACAAC